TTGTTTTCCTGGTAGTTGTCCTCAGACTCCATTGTTCCCTTTTGAAATCTTTGGCTGTTGTCACCACCAGCAAGGGTTTTGGATTTTAGTTTCATACTGAATTCTCTGCCTGTAGCTAGTTGAAATGGCTGTCTCAACCCTCATAAACTGGAGTTAGAGGCTCCTTTAGAACAACTTATACTTTTTTGTTCCTTTGCAGGGGTAGTAGGTTTAAAAGGAAAAACTTAGCTGCAAGGCCCAGTCCAGTATGCTCTAGTCATAATATTTAATAATAGAATTAGCATGTAGTTCCCAGCCATCTGCCAAGTCTCTCCCCTCAGATTCTTTTCCAGCTGCCCACTCACTAACACATCCCTTTTTCTCTTCTCAACCTTTACCCTCTTCTCAGGAGAGGCAGCCTACTCTTGTAGAAGAACATAAGCTTCTTTAAAGTCAGACTTGTGTTGCATTCCTGGTGCCATGATGGCGGCTGTTTTGTTGTTGTTGTTTTGGTTTTGTGATCTTGATCAGGTTATTTAATATTTCTTCACCTATAAAATACAGATAATGATATATGCCTTGCAGGGTTTTGTTGTAAGGGTTAGAGATTATGTTTGTAAAGGCCCAGGTACAGAGTAGAGCCTCATAAAACAAGGACCTACTTTTTTCTCTTGAATCAATTGCTATAATTTAATTTGGCAAATATGTATTAGTGTCTAATATGTGCTAGATTCTGCTGAGGATGCTGAAGAGATCAAAACAAAACCCAGAATCTCTGAATTCAGAAAGTTGCATGGTATAGAAAGGAGACCGACACACAAACAAATAACAGCAGTAATGTGCTAAGTGCAATAGAGTGCTAGAAGCAAATAATTCTTTTTCTAGCCCTGTCTTTGTCTAGTGGTTTCCAAGTATTTCTTTTGGAAAACTACTTGGTAGTCAAGATGGGGGACAAATGGAAAAAGAGGGGGAAAAAAACAACTGTTAAAGGTTTCTGTAATCTGTGAGGTGCCAACCTTTTAAGAATTGATTTCAGCAAGGCACTAGATAAAATCTCTCATGGAGTTCTTGTACATAAGATGGAGAAATGTGGACTAGCTGATAGAAGATGGACTTGAAGGTGGTTATACAACTATGTCCAGGATTTTTTTCTCCTGCAGCCTATTTTTACTTATAAAATCTTTAGGTTGGAAGGAACCGTATGAATAGATTGTCTATTGTCTCTATAATCTTTTCTCTTTTTTCCCCTTTTAATTTTTAATTCAACAGTACAGAAAGGTATATAGTAAAAAATATGCCTCCCTCCTATTCCAGTTCTTACGTGTCCCAGTCCCTTGTCCCCAGAGACAAGCACTATTAATAGTTGCTTGTGTGTATGATCTTGTTTTATTGTTCATTTCTCTTTACATTTGGTATTATAGTTATTGAGTGTATGTGCTGTCTCCCTTTGTAAATTGTAAGCTCCTTAAGAGCAAGGATCCTGCCTCATAATTTCCTGTGTCTCCCCAAATTACTTGCACGTTGAAGATTCTCTATAAATATTTGCTTGATTAAGTATTTAAAGGAAACTTGGACCAGTGGGAAGAAGACAGGTTTCTCTGGTAACATGCCACAGTTTTCTGTCCTTGGCCATATCCTTTACAACCATTTTTTTCCCCGGCAACTTGGATGAAGATGTAAAAAGGATGCTTGTCATATATTCAGATGACACAAAGCTGGAAAAGAGAGCTAATGACATCAGATGACAGGATCAAGACTGCAGATGATCTGAACAGAATGTTCACCTGGAAACAGGGACAAATATAAAGTCCTGTGTTTAAGGGGGGAAAATACACAGCAATGCAGTTACCCAAATATAGAATTAGGAGACCTTTCTTTTTTTTTTTTTAAAGAGGGAGTGGAATCTTCTTTTTTTTTTTAAATTGGGGAATTGGGGGAAGGGGAACAGACAAGTTGCTGTCGTTTTGTTCTTCAGTCTAGTTGTGGAGGACGTTGCTTCACTGG